ACCTCCTATGGATTGCTTCAGTAGATATGAAAGCTCTTTGTTAAATTGTGGAGTATCTAGATTTGATAGATGTAGCAGTGGTCAGGAGGCAGGAGTCCATTGCTACCACAAAATAAATGGTTTGTTGTTTAGACATTGCATCTCTATTATGCTATATTTAAAATTAAGCTGATTATTCAAATTCAATTTTTCTAATGAATTTATTGATTTTAACAAATAAAATTCAAAAATAAATGTGCAACCATTAGAGACATTTAAGGGATGTTTTTGTTTAGATCTATGTGCTTTTTTATGTTTTAATCACTCAGACTTGTCCTGACATATTTAAACACCCAATTTTATGTTAACGACCCCAAAATCTACCTAATTCAAGATCAATAATTTACCGCCTGTCAATCATTAAAAAAAAACAATAGCTTCTGATTTGACTGACAGGCCAGCTACCCGTGCTACCTGATAGTCTGAGTTTGTGTCCTTTGAAAACGATCGCCTGGTCACGCGTCAAACACTTTCGTGTAGCCGCCTTGTATACACGGGGGTTAAAAAAAAGAATCTTGGTAAAATTTTATTTTAAAAACAATTGAGATACTGAGCAGACAAATAAAACATGACTTAATAAAATATTTGCTTTTAATCTCAACGGCTATATTGTATTTTAAGCGATATGTCGTACAAGATACCTGCTCTGTAGAATTTAGACCAGTCTGTGCACAGAAACGCTATTTGCCAATTAAAATTGGAATATGAAAAATAGGAAAAGATATTTAGTACAAACGGCACGGATAAAAAAATCCTTTATCCTATGTTTTACCTACTTATATTTGAATACAATCTATACCATGTTCCGTTGTAAAGTTCTGAAATGTCAGAAACAGCTGTCGAGTTTCGAGATTGTAAATTTTAGTTCGAATTTCCTAACATCTGTCAATACCCAATATTCGAAATTAAAAATGAATATATATATATATATATATATATATATATATATATATATATATATATAGAAAGCACAAAGAAATTCACTTTTACATGGATACCCACTTCCGCCCCAGCCCGGGGTTGAACTCTCGACCTTCGGAATCTGTCTCCTAGCAGTGCAGGAACAGCGCGCTAGACCGCTCGGCTATCTAGGCAAGTCAAAAAAACTTGCTTTCGATGCCGATGGAATTCTCGCGGCGCTGCCCTACACTACACGGTCATTGAGAATAGAAGTGAGATACAGTTATTTGGACATTAGTTTTAACAGAGGATTGTTACCAATACATGTTGTAATGAAATTAATTATTATTTATAAAGCACAATTTACAACAACTCTTAAACTAATATAACTGCCCTAAGTGAAGAAATATTAATATAGAAAGCACAAAGAAATTCACTTTTACATGGATACCCACTTCCGCCCCAGCCCGGGGTTGAACTCTCGACCTTCGGAATCTGTCTCCTAGCAGTGCAGGAACAGCGCGCTAGACCGCTCGGCTATCTAGGCAAGTCAAAAAACTTGCTTTCGATGCCGATGGAATTCTCGCGGCGCTGCCCTACACTACACGGTCATTGAGAATAGAAGTGAGATACAGTTATTTGGACATTAGTTTTAACAGAGGATTGTTACCAATACATGTTGTAATGAAATTAATTATTATTTATAAAGCACAATTTACAACAACTCTTAAACTAATATAACTGCCCTAAGTGAAGAAATATTAATATAGAAAGCACAAAGAAATTCACTTTTACATGGATACCCACTTCCGCCCCAGCCCGGGGTTGAACTCTCGACCTTCGGAATCTGTCTCCTAGCAGTGCAGGAACAGCGCGCTAGACCGCTCGGCTATCTAGGCAAGTCAAAAAACTTGCTTTCGATGCCGATGGAATTCTCGCGGCGCTGCCCTACACTACACGGTCATTGAGAATAGAAGTGAGATACAGTTATTTGGACATTAGTTTTAACAGAGGATTGTTACCAATACATGTTGTAATGAAATTAATTATTATTTATAAAGCACAATTTACAACAACTCTTAAACTAATATAACTGCCCTAAGTGAAGAAATATTAATATAGAAAGCACAAAGAAATTCACTTTTACATGGATACCCACTTCCGCCCCAGCCCGGGGTTGAACTCTCGACCTTCGGAATCTGTCTCCTAGCAGTGCAGGAACAGCGCGCTAGACCGCTCGGCTATCTAGGCAAGTCAAAAAACTTGCTTTCGATGCCGATGGAATTCTCGCGGCGCTGCCCTACACTACACGGTCATTGAGAATAGAAGTGAGATACAGTTATTTGGACATTAGTTTTAACAGAGGATTGTTACCAATACATGTTGTAATGAAATTAATTATTATTTATAAAGCACAATTTACAACAACTCTGCACTACTAGGAGACAGATTCCGAAGGTCGAGAGTTCAACCCCGGGCTGGGGCGGAAGTGGGTATCCATGTAAAAGTGAATTTCTTTGTGCTTTCTATATTAATATTTCTTCACTTAGGGCAGTTATATTAGTTTAAGAGTTGTTGTAAATTGTGCTTTATAAATAATAATTAATTTCATTACAACATGTATTGGTAACAATCCTCTGTTAAAACTAATGTCCAAATAACTGTATCTCACTTCTATTCTCAATGACTGTGTAGTGTAGGGCAGCGCCGCGAGAATTCCATCGGCATCGAAAGCAAGTTTTTTGACTTGCCTAGATAGCCGAGCGGTCTAGCGCGCTGTTCCTGCACTGCTAGGAGACAGATTCCGAAGGTCGAGAGTTCAACCCCGGGCTGGGGCGGAAGTGGGTATCCATGTAAAAGTGAATTTCTTTGTGCTTTCTATATTAATATTTCTTCACTTAGGGCAGTTATATTAGTTTAAGAGTTGTTGTAAATTGTGCTTTATATATATATATATATATATATATATATATATATATATATATATATATATATATATATATATATATATATATATATATATATATATATATATATATATATATATATATATATATATATATATGTAATGGTTAGGGCCATGGATGTCGGCCTGGATAGCTCAGTAGGTAGAGCACCTGACTGGAGATACAGGGGTCCCGGGTTCGATTCCCGGTCCAGCCATGCATTTTCTCCTTTCCTGTTACAGATTTGGTGCCGTTGACCACCCCTGGATTTGCAGGTGAAAGTCCTGCCAGGGGCAATAAGAACTTGGGTTGTGTCTTCGAGGGCGAAGACAATTTAAGGAGGGAGGAATGTAATGGTTTGGGCCGTGGATATTGGCCTGGATAGCTCAGTTGGTAGAGCACCTGACTAGAGATGCAGAGGTCCCGGGTTCGATTCCCGGTCCAACCATGCATTTTCTCCTTTCCTGTTACATATATATATATATATATATATATATATATATATATATATATATATATATATATATATATATATATATATATATATATATATATATATATATATATACAGCCAAAGATCAATTCTTAAAAGTAATAAAAAAAAATATCTCGCAAACAATAAAAAATTTTAATCACATGTACGAACACCCGGAAATGGTGAATATTTTCGACACTATTGTTGATCAGAACGTAGGCAATATTCCTATCGCGGTACGGTACATTTTATATGTTCACACGACGGATAGGCCTACCTATGAATGGAGTATTTTATAATTTTTATTTTTAACTTTTGATATTTACACAAGTTTAATTTAAAAAAGATATGTTTACTTTGTAGTTTTACTCTGTGTTCTTTTCTTTAATTTGTCATTTTTTTAAATATAAAAACGATATTTCTTTATATTTTTTCTTCATTAGATATCGCTGAAAGTATTTATAAATAAATTTTATATTGAAATATTTCAATTATTTCAAGTAGTTTCACTCAAATTTAGACACGAAACACGGAATGTTGACCCTGATACCAGACACAGACTTCCTGTGTAATGCTACGTGTATGTAGATTTTTGACATCTTGGGTATTGGGTGTCTCCAGGTAAATAACACCACTGTTACTTGGACCACTCCCCCTCCTCAGGTAACCGTACGGTAAAAAAGTTGGGTCTTTAATTAATCTATAATTGCTGAAAGAAAGATCTACGGATAAAAAAAAATCACACACTGACAAACATTCCTGAAATAATATACAGTTATGTAATGGGTACGAGGGAAATAGCAAATTTATGGCTCCCCGAGGGAGGAAACTATTTCCCGAGGCGGCGAAGCCGCCGAGGGAAATGGTTTTCTGCCGAGGAGAACCATAAATTTGCTATTTCTTGAGTTCACATTCCATAACTGTTTTATTATACCGAAACAATCATAGGCGATTTATTATTTTTTTTACCAGATATTCCGACATTTAAAAAAAAAAAAACACTGTAGAGGCATTATTACAAATGCATGCTGTTAAACAGATTGTATGATAAGTAATGCATGGTGTCCTAGAACAATTAAATTATTTTTAAAAAGCATTTTCACTGACACTTCGAAGAACTATCGTTGTCTTCATTTTGCTTGAATTCAAGTATGAATTTGACATCGCATGTCGAAATGTTTTGCCGTCATAGTTACATTGCTAATAACATGACGTCACAGACTCGAAATTTCTTGAACGCTCCGCCCCCTGAACACTTTGATTGGTCAAAATTACTTTATATTCACGATGGAGTAGTCCCAGGGAGTAGCTCTGATTTTCCAGGGAGTAGTCTTCAGATGAGAGAAATTGTCTCTTCTCGGGGAAATAGACAGTTTTATGGTATTAATTTTATATAGAGTAATTACAGTAGAGGTATAATAAACGTTTTTATTAATGGTTTTAAAAAAATATATATAACACTATGTTTAAATTGTTTGCTGCCCGAAATAGCTTGACTTTTCAGAATATTTCTACCTATGACAATATACAGTTATGGAATGGGTACGAGGGAAATAGCAAATTATGGTTCCCCGAGGGAGGAAACTATATCCCGAGGCGGCGAAGCCGAGAGGAACCATAAATTTGCTATTTCCCAAGTTCCCATTCCATAACTGTTTTATTATACCGAAACAATCATAGGCGATTTAATTTTTTAACCAGATATTCCGACAGTTAAAAAAAAATACTGAAGAGGCATAATTACAAATTTGTACAAATTTGTGCGGTATAAGACATTGTACATGTATGATAAGTAATTGATCGCGTCCTAAAACAATTAAAATTTTTTTTAAAAAGTATTATCACTGACATTTCGAAGAACTATCGTTGTCTTCATTTTGTTAGAATTCAAGTATGAGTTTGACATTGCATGTGGAAATGTTTTGACGTCATAATTACATTGCTAATGACATGACGTCACAGATTCGAGATTCCTTGAACGCTCCGCCCCCTGAACACTTTGATTGGTTAAAATTACTAATAAATATTCATGAGGGAGTAGTCCTAGGGAGTAGCGCTGAATTTCCAGGGAGTAGTCCTCAGATGAGTGAAAAATTCTCTTCTCGGGGAAATAGACAGTTTTACGGTATAACTTTTATATAAAGTAATTACAGTAAAGGTATAATAATACAAACAAGAGGTCAATGGGCCACATCGCTCACCTGAGTAACTTCGGCCATTCTGTCATATTTAACAGATTTTCCCCTTTGCAATACCTATCTTGCCCTTGACCATCCTAAAGGGCCATGATTTGAATAATTCAGAATCTACACTACCCAAGGATGCTTCAACATAATTTCAGCTTTTCTGACCCAGTGGTTCTTGAGAAGAAGATTTTTAAAGTTTTTTTTCCTTCATATTTCTGTTTTAAACTTGGATTCACTCGTGTGGCACCACCCTACCCCCAGGGGTCATGATTTGAACAATTTAGAATTTACATAACCCAAGGATGCTTCCACATACGTTTCAGCTTTTCTGGCCCAGTGGCTTTCGAAGTAAAAAATGTAATGGTTGGTCAAAAATTTAAATAAATGTGAAATTGAACAGCATGAAATTTCTGAAAACTCATTTTTGGAAGTAAATGTCTGCAAAAAATGGGTATAACGAAATTGATTTAGCTGAGTTTATTAGGACTCTCTGGATCGATATTTTTTCGGTTTTCTTTTTTTAGGGGTGGGGGTAATATTATGCTCTCTCTCTGTCTCTCTCTCTCTCTTTTACCATGCTGTAGCCAAACTGGGTATTCATGTACGTACGAGCCAAGATGTGAGAGCTGTGTAATTACTCAATTGTTTCTAATTAAAAGTTAAATTTAACTTCTTAAAATTATTTATTTTTGAGTTGGTGATTGTGACCACGATCTATGATTAATATGTATTATAGAATATGCCTCGAATAATGGCAAATTAATGAGAAATATCAAAATATTAACACTATAATCCAGAAATTTCTGAATAGAAATGTAAGAAAGCATACCAACTCACCAGTATTGTCATTCCGTGCTCAGTGATGTGTGTAGAGTTTTTAAAACAAATTGAACACAACTTGTGAAACTTTTGACAATAACTTAACCCTTTTATCAAAAATAGTTTACGTTTCACTGATTTCACATGTGTTCAATTTGTAACATACATCACTGATCATGAGCAAGGACGACTTAAAATATGAGTTGGTTTTGCTTTCTCACATTTTCTCCCATTCTTAAACAAGACAAAAATTCAATGTAATTAATTCGTTTAACTGTAATAATGAGATTTTTTATGCACAGAAATGATAAGACTTGTGAATGGAGCTTCAAGCAACGAGGGTCGTGTAGAGGTGTTTATCAACGGGACCTGGGGTACTGTGTGTGATGATGGATGGGATGATAACGAAGCCCTAGTTTTATGTAGAAGTCTGGGCTATTCAGGGTAAATTGTTACTCGTTTTTTTTTTCCATATTTATTGCAGTGTCAAAATCAACGCATATTGAACGACAATAATTATTGTAAAGGTACAGTGAAAACTGTCCAAACTGTGTAATCTGTTTCACTTTACTATTTTAAGTGTTCTTAACACTGGGTTATTTGACACCCTGTCTAATCCGACACAAATCTACTAGTACATGTCAGATTATATATTTTTCACTGCATATATAAGATCTTGTTTATTTTACAGAGATTATACGGCCCAGAAAAGTGCCTATTTTGGACAAGGGTCTGGAACTGCGTGGATAAGGAGGATACGATGTAGAAGAAGGGAATCGTCCATCTTTGATTGTTCATACTCCGGCATCTGGAAAACTAATTGTCGTCGGTACAAGGATGCTGGTGTTAGATGCAAATAATTTGCTACTACAGAGTTTTATCTCTGTTAATCTTCCAAACTGTTATCAAATCTTTTTCGTGTAATTTTTCAGTGATTGGTTATGTTCATTCTGATGTAGCACTAGATAAAAACATATATAATATACTTATATATACTTTTTTTAATCACATATGTATTGGCATCAACAAATATTTGATTAAATGACTCTTTAAGATACATATATGACGTTTTTCTTATTATATGATAAATATATACATGTGAACGTGATTACTTCAGCGAACAACGAGCAGAAACTTGCACGAAGCAAAATCTATGGATAAAAATATAAGGAATTCAAGTTAAATAATTACAAATATCAAAAAATTTTCAGATGAAAAATTCCCTGTTATTGTCCAATGTACGCATTTAAACTTTTGGGGTTTTTTCATTGTTTTAGGAGGTAATGGTATAAATTAAGATAAATACATACGTATTCTACTGTACGTAATACGAGTTCATTGTTTAAATAAGGTTATGTTTTTCTTCCATTGGTGCAGAAGGTATTTGTAAAAAGATGCTCCATTTTCATTTTAATATAAACATTATACATGTAAACATTAAATGCGAGTCCTTTTACATGTAGCTTTCGAAGATTTTAATATCGACATAATTGTTATTATTGGCGATGAATTGATACTGATATAAAACAGAACTTATTTTGTTACAATTTTAATCCCTAAAAAGAGTTTTAAAACGATTTCAATCAACTTTTTTTATGAAGAGAAAAAATCATTTTGTTCGGACTTTAATTTCTGCAGAACGTTCGAATTGACTAGGTCCGTTTAATTTGTCCGTCTGTCATACTTTCTTTTTCCAATAATCTCTCTTTAAATTGAAGAATTAGCAAACTTATCTTTAAGAATGATAGAAGTTGTCCTGCAATTGTGCAATATGACCCAAGAGTTTTCATTTTCGTTCGGCGAAGATAGGGCACATGCATGTTAAAAATGATGTGTTTTTTCTACAAACATTAAACCTGATTTCCAAAAAAATCAGATAGCCAATTATTATAATATGTGATAAAAAGGCCATTTCTGCAAAGCAACAATTATACCAAAATATTTTTTTGTTAGCAATGCGTCAGTGTTAAACGAATTCTCGACAGTAAATTTTCGCAACCAGGAAAGATTCCCTACAAATAAACAGCAAAATAAATGATTCTCATCAAAATAAAATTTTGCGATCAAAGAAGGTCGCTCCACTCGTGGATATTTCTCGTGCGAATAAAAGTTGGTATCCAGTGGTAGATCTACTGTGACACGGGACCTCGGTTTATTCGGTCTCATCTGAAGGACTGCTCTCCATGTCCCGCAGTAGATTCGAACCCTTGACCTAAGGATGAACTTCTTAATACGCAACTCTAGTACAGATGCTCTTACCACTTCGCCATGTAGGCGAATTTGCCATAGCAAGAGTTTTGTCTGCATATGCAAGTTCTAAATAAATTCTGCTTCAAATTTAAGAAATAAAAAAAAAAAACAAGTGAGCTCATAAAGGGGCACAATTCATGACCACTGGAATTCCAAAATCTCCCATCCCTTCTTCTTTGTTATAGTTATAAGCATGTTACAGCGATTCTAAAGCTGATCGTATTCGAAGCATGTTTTCGAGTGTCAAAGATGTTGGTTAATTTTTACACCATATGCAGCGTAATAGCAAGATTATTATTAAATAAATAAGACAAGATGACAACTAATTCATCTCGTTTTTCATACAATTTAGTTGTCCCCTGTTGCCACGTTAGTGATACGACAGACTATGTGACGTGATATCTTTGATTTCAAATTCACTAAAATATACAAAATCGGCATATGAATGAAAGTAACAATTGTGAATTGACAAGAATAGTTAAAAGTATGTAATACTGTACTTGTGTGTAGAATAAGAGCGATTTTAACAAATGGAGATAACAATAGTATTCAAGATCAAAGGTCCATAAAACAATACAAAATAGGAGCAGAGCAAATGCGGAATTTAAAAACATTAGAGGTGGGATCAGGTGCAAAGGTGGAGTGAGTATCCACTGTCGACCGGTCACACCTGCCGTGTTCACATCATGAATAGAGTAATTCTGATGATTTTGATGAACAATAAAGATAAAAAACATGAAAAGATTGCAGTTTAACACTTTTTAATATATCTCTAAATGTTTACTAATTATATATACATATCATATTAAATACATCATTCAATAATTATATGGTGAATTACTTTTGGGATTATGTTAGGAACATCAAAATTTTCACATATTTTCTCTAAACTTGCAGACAACTGTTTTGCAAACATTTTCACATCCAAAAGTTAATTGTACAGCTACAAATAGAATGATTGCGACCATACTAATCACAGTAAAACACCCCTGAAGCTGTTTTACCTTTTTCTTATGCAGGAAAAAAGTTACATCAATTTTAAAAAATATATATTATCTTGGCAAGTAAATATAAGCTTTGATATAATTCTCCCTTTTCTGACAAAAGAATTTGAGATGTACCATCAATACAATGGACTTTCTCAAGCCTACATTAACAATCTGTTAGTTATATGCAGGAGAATTTAATTGTGTTACTTAATATAAAGGGTAACATTTGGTTTCTTAATTGTTGGGACCACATATAAGGACATATAAAAAAGGGAGTTTTTTTTCCTTTTACGTACAGTAAAGGTCCGGTAAAAAGTCAACAACACAGAATTCATCAATTTTATATAAATGACCACACTTGGATGTTTACCAAAACCAGATGTTTATCTTTCATCCTGGCTCAACGTTTGATCCCTGTGCTTTGTACAATCAAACTTCTACACATATTGTTCATTCATACACATATGATTATCTCAAAATCTGCACCCAACCAGTCACATCTCAATCACACCCATCAGGTTACACATTACATAATATGCAAATTTTTTTTTATATAAAAAAGCAAAGATACATAATATGAATCCAATCCAATATTTTTTAAATAATTTATTTCCAATGAAATCAAAAAGATAGAAGCTTTAAATAGTTTTTAGCTTATATGTACCAACATAATTATATTCGTAACATCAACCATAGCAAAAGCAGTTGGTTATATTGATGGAGCTCCTCATCGCAAGGAAGATAACTCAGGTTAGCTGGCATTAATTATAAATAAAAAACACCACGCCTAGCTACTCTCTTTATAGGTAGAGATCAATGACAGCAAGAATATTTTATGTAATTTGAATAACCTTTCGGGAATTCAGGAATTTCTCTTTAAGCCAAAGCACTCAATAACACTCATTAAATCTTTTTAAAACTATTAAAGAATGCAGTTTATGAAAGCTACCCTGAAAATAAAATGTCAGTTACTGAAAAAACCCTCGACATTTCTGAAATTTTTATTAACCTCATTCGTAAACCTACGATTTGTGGGGCTAAATACGTCTTTATTTTTTTTGTAATGACCTTGAGCTATTATTTAAACTAAATGACATACAAACCATATTAACATAATAAAAATCCCAAAACACGCCTTGTTTATAGTAAAGATACCGTAATGTTGTCGATTTTTTCCCCTGAAAACTCTTCAGTCATCTACTCCCAATGCTTGTGTATCCTAAGCAATATACCCTTATCAGGTTCATATGTTGTTTACATTTCTTATTTAATTTAAAACCAAAGAGCTTGCTCTACGTAATAACACTTTTTCAAAACGAGGTAAATTATTGACAAACAAGTTGATGACACTAAAATATACCAAAACAAGTTGACGATGCTAGAAAACCAATTGCCTCGTTTAAAGACTCCGTTTTGCAAGTTCTTCAGACGATAATATGAAATTGCCAGCAAATACAATATATCCTCATTAATGTCACAGGGTCTTCCATACAGAAAACTACACCACAATACCTCAAATGAAAGTTCTTAGATTTTAATGACAATTACGATGGATTGTGAAATAGACGAAGAATAAACGAAGATGACCTGAAATGAAAATGACATACTCGTTCAAGTTCACTCAAACTAATATGTATTTAATTTCAATACTTTAAAATCAGTATCTATATATTAAATTATTCTTACTAGTCTCAACAAGGCACTTAGGTTCCGCAAGGATTTTCTGAGATAAACTGCTTATAAAAGATTTCTAGCATGAGAACATCAAACTGTATTAAAGTATCGTCAAGATTAATAAGGAATAGTCCGTGCATAAGTATATATATAAATGTCAGGACTCACACATGTGTACTATACCCTTACATACTGGTTCAACCTCTCTCACCCAGAATAATACTAGACCACAAGTCAATCACGTGACAACCAAACGAACACGTGACACAGAACACAGTATTAACAAAAATACAATACAAACACGATGACAATGAATGACATAAACAAGGAACACACGGCGGATGTTCCGATCGACAAGGGACTCTTCCATGGCATCGGATACATGTACCTCCTCTGATGTTAAAGAGGTTTGTGTGATTTATATTATTTAATGGATTTGAGCTTGAATACTTTTGTTATCTCCATATATTCGATGAAGACGCCACCATTGACCATTAGAAAGCTGCAAATTTGTCATATACTCGGCTCTCAAGGCCATTGGGGAGTGAGGAGGCGTTTTCATACATGTACCAGCATCTACTGCGGCATGGGACCTTGGTTTATACGGTCTTATCAGAAGGAGCAATGTCCATTTTCCACAAAGTGATTCAAACTCGTAACTTGAGGGCCAAATCCTGTTCACTCATGATACAGATTTTCAATATAAGAATTTTCCCCATCATTGAAAAAAATCTCTTATTTTCTGTGGCAGATTTTTTAGCCTTTTGTATAAAATATATGTATCATTTTTGAAATACACAATCGAATTTTATCTGTCTAAACTGGTTTTGTACATGTGAGGCAAAAATAACTTATTTTTTAAGAAATAAGCTGAATTAGTACATTTTAGATATTTATTGAAAAATCTAAACTTGACATCAAGTGTACTTACCACTGCAACACAGATGAGCCTCGTATACAGCAAACTACATCAAAGTTGTAAGTAGGCGATGTCAATAAATTTTGTACATCGACATAATCTTATGTGACTAGGGCACGAAATGATAATTCACAGTAATTAGATCCACATCATTTTTGTCTTCTCCGATGTACAGGGTAGGGACAAAAGTCAGTATACTGGAGGTCATTTTGAATTTTGTGTGCAAG